TTAAGAGTGCGGCAGGTATACTTTCAGACTAATTTTTTAATCCAAAATCTTTTTTTCTTTATTCTAGTTTTAATAATAAATTTCTTTTGGTGTGTATTGAAAATTTATAGATAAATAGCCCACCATATCTGTGACTTCAAGAGTATTATTATTTTTGATGGAGATAAGATTTTTTTAAAGTTTATTTAAAAAGAATATATGTTAAGTAAATAACAGTACAAGTAGTATGGAAACATGTCAAAACAAAAGAAAGAAAGAAATCAGAATAACTTTTAGGAAGCTGTATTCCTGACCAGATTACATCCCTTCTCTGAGTTTCAGTCTGAGTGTGAGTGGTAGGAATCTGGAAATACTAGTGTGTCTGTTGGATGGGATGCCTCAAAAAATGGCCAGTCTTTCAGCTGTGTTTTTTTCTTATGAATTTCGATTAACATAGATGGTTTAACACAGCTCCTTCTTCCTAAAAAGATCTTCTCTAGTTAGAATTTCATGTTAAATTATAAGTTAAGGCAACGCATTGGCTTTAAAATAAAATCCCAACATTTTAACAGAATATTACTGCCTAATAACTCTGTAGTATAAACAAAAATGTTTAATGTTTCCTTACTGGCTGATGTCCTGTATTGTTTTCGAGTGAGTAAAAAATCTAAAGTTCTGTATAAGTCCACATAATGGGATTTTAAAGCCAATGGTTTCTGAAGAACATCATGCATTTAGACTTTGTCTTATTGTCTCTTATTCATCTTTGTACCACTGGTATTCAGCTGAGTATGGCATGTCGTAGATGCTTAACAAATATTCAATTGTTGATGGGTATTCCACTGAACGTTCCATACTACAGAACCTAGTTTGGTAGAACCATAAATTTAACTTCTACAATTTGGGGAAAAGACTTTAAAAAAAAGAAAAATTAGAACATTGGTATTGAAACATCTTTTTTATTCACAGGTATATAGGCAAAGATTCGTGTAGGGTAAGTTTAATATTAGTTATTGCAATTTCTCTTCCTTTGGGAGATATTCAGAATCATGAATTATCTGTGTTTGTCTTCTTCCAGTCACTTCTTGCTAGGTATGGACACCAGTCAACTAGTTCCATGTGTTTAGATTTGGGTTTATGAGAAAATACTGATTTTTCTGTAAGGGATCAGAAAGATGTGTTAGTGACTTCACTTATTTGATATCTGAAGTCCATAGTTATCCAATTTGAAGTCTTTTAAAAAAAACTTGTTAAAGACTAATTTTCAACAAGAGTAAAAGATCTTGAAAATTCAAAATAAATAGCCCATTGAAAATAATAAATGCAAATAGTAAAATGACTATATTGAACTGAATGGAAAAGTAGTTTTACATAGGGCAGGAAGGAAAATACCTCCAAGTTCAAGAGGTGTGTGGTCAAACGTTTAAAGATGAAATATTGTTTTGCTAAAATCATCAGCTTGAACAGTTTTCCAGCTGAAATTTAGAAAGTGCGATTTATAAACTGGAATTTTTTTTTTGCATAGTTTTCAGGAAGCAGGACTTTTTTTTTTTACATGATATAATGTCAGTATTGAACCAATGACATTAAAACATTTATTCACTCTTGTTTCGGTGGAAATTCTATCTTTTTAATGGAGCTTCTGGACCAACTCTTCCTTCTTTCCATGATTCCCTTCTACAGGGGATAGACATCCCCTTTCCCTTCATAAACACTTTTCTTTGAGAGGTTTGGGTGCTTTCCTTTTCTAACCTTTAAAAACCAAAATGATTTATAGATTATCCTTATCCTGCTAGGGTTGGGCAAGTAAGTGGATCATATTTGCATGGGTCACTCTGATTATAGGACTCCACTATATTTTGAACTAAAATTGTAAGATTTATTATTCTATTAATACTCATAAAGGCACTCTTCTGATGAGCCATAATTTCCCTTTATGAGGAGTGTGTATGCTAGTCACCCATGATAAGGGAGAAGAAGGTCCGGGCTTCCCACATATTCCTATTTCCTGGAACATAAACAGAGTCCTGAAATACCATATGACTCCAGGGGAATAATGGCATAGGGTACATTAACAAAAGGCAAATTTCACGGAGTCAACATGTCCTCAGGAGACTTGCTTCACATTGCTGCCTGTGTACAAAATCTAAGCTTTTCCATTTTAATTAAGAATTTTAGAAATTAACCCTCCTGGTGGAGGAGAGAACCCACCAATGAGGCTTGTATTATCTTTGTGAATATTCTTAGGGAATGAAATAGCAGGAGGTGTGAACTTTCTCCTGTTTATCTTAATGGTCCGCTAATGGCAAAGCATAATTACAGTTACTTAAGCGCCAAGTCTGTTAAGGTTTTCACTAAAACCTTCAGCTTCAACACTTTACTTGAGTGACCTAGCTTTTATTTATTCAAATAACTCATCATTTGAAAGAAAACCACCCCCAATAAAAGCAAGCAAGCAACAAAAAGCACATTCCCCACCATGTTTATTTCTTTCATGTTAATTTCTGTCGATTATTTTTAGATGGATAGTTCATGCACTCGTGACTTCAAAAAATGTCGAAAAATTTGTGCATGGTGTCATGAATTGAATTTTTAGCCTTCTCACATTCAAAAACCAGGGCTATGCGGGAGTTTTCCAGTAGCTTGCTTCACGGCTTTGAGAAGTCAATTTGCTTCTAAACCAGAAGATGGTCTTCTCAAGAGTATCCTGTATTTGGAATGGAAACTGAGCCATTGTCCCTTCCGCCCAAAGCGCCCATTTGAGAAGCCCGAAAGCCACCTATCTCTCCATCGGTCTCTGGATCTCCTCGCTGCCTTTGTCCCTTCTAGACGTGGAGGCTTGGAGAGGAGGTTTAGTTTCCAAGGATTGGAGCGTTTGAAGGGCGGGGCCATCTCCAAGTCCATCTCCCCTTTTTGTCCTCTTCTCCTGGGACGGGAGGGAGGAGCCAGGTCCCCCCGCGGCCGGTTCGGGAGCTATCTCGGTCGCTCGAGGTGAGTCTGAAAGGGCGGCAGCCCGTTTAATTGCAGCGCAGGTTAATTTCTTGAGTTCACCGCAGTCGGTCCGCCAGCCGCTTGCCCGGTCTTTGCCAAGTGGGTTTATGAGGTCTGAGGCGTGTTGGGGCGCGCTCACGTTCTCGCGAAAGGCTCCTCCCCAGGGCTCATTCCCCGACTGCGGGAAGCCCTTTGGTGCCCCAGGAGCCCTGCGTTTCCTCTGACCTCGGCGCTTCCTCCTCTCTCCGCACCGCCGGGCTCCCCGCGCCCCTGCCCCCCTGCCCCCAGGGAAGGGCGGTCCCCATCTTAGGACTTCCGACCCAAGCCATCCCAGAAGGTACCTTCACGTCGATGAAGATTTTATCACAGCCTCCAAAACCCGACAGTGATAGGAGCTTTCAACCTGAAATACGAGTGTTATTTTCCCGGTGCAGAGCTTGACAGAAAAAGTCAGCTTTTTATTAAAGACAAAGAGGTAAATTATCAGCCGGGGCAGTGGAAGGACGATGGAGACCTGGCGCGCTTCCTCTCGGTGCCACGAGGAATTTATGGGGGAGCGGCGGCCAGCGCTCAGACATCCCTGGGGTCCTGTGGGGGAGGAGCTCGGGGCAGAAGGACTTTCCCAGGTCCCTCCAGGCAGCTGGAAGGGGGAGTCCTCCCAAGTCTGTACAAAGCCAGGGTCATTTCAGTCCTGCCGAGTCTTACCGTCCTCCTCTCTCCTTTCTTCTTTCTCGGATTCCCGTTTCCCTTTCGCCTCAGAGCTTTCTCCTCCAGGTTTTCCTCTGCCTACTTTTTCTCTTCTCTCTCCCTCCCGCCTCCTTTCTTCTCCACCGCACGCGTAGAGTGTCATTTATTTATTTATTTATCACCCCCGCCATCAACACCCTTTTAGGGCTCCCAAGCTTTTCAATGTGAGTGGGAGGAGAAAAGGGCAGGAAGTGTTGACTGGAAGGGGTTGAAGTCGTGCCTCTGGGTGAGAGATTCTGCCCCGGAATAAGCGATTGGGGAAAAGCTGGGAAAAGGAGTCCGATCTGTTTAGGAAACCCCGCTATCTGGTGGGAACCAACTCCGCGCGCGCCTCCTCCTCCCCTTTATTGTATGGGCTTATGGGGATGTCTGCCCGGACTGTTGCTGGGGGCGGGGGGGGGGTGGGATGGGGGGAGGTAGTGAGTATTAGAGGACAATCTTGCCTGGCATCCTCTACACCGCGCCTTCTCCACCGGATGCGCGCTCCCCAATGCAAAGGAATCCAGCAACATCCCCCAATTCAGACGCGGACAAAAGAAACTTTAATTAAGGTCTCTGCCCCGCGCGCTGCGTGTTTCTCTCTCTCTCGAGACTGTTGATGTCCAACTCGAGGATGCGAGAAATAGAAATGGTACAAGCAGCCCATGCCCTTGAACTTCAATTGCTTCTGACTTGCTGTATTGATTTTTTTATACTGTAGGCACCACCTCCCGCCCCCTCCCCCCATCAAATTAAAGCCTTAGTAGACATTGGACTTAGAGAGGAGGGTAAACGCACTCCTTTGCAAAATAAATAGTTCAGAACGATTCGTGGGAAATTACACCAAATAAAAATTCAAGGTGTGAAAGCCTCATCTTGGTTTTCTTGTCTTCAACACCATGACACCTTATCATTAGGAGCTCTGATTGTTACTTTCTGAGCCTTTAGATGATCAGCCAGAAAGTGCAAACAACGCCGGGCTGGAAGGTGTAAAGTTATTTAAGTAGGCTTTTTTTCCCCCTTTTGGTGCGCCGTCAAAACACTTCACAAGTTAGGAAAAGAAAGTGGTGGTTCCGAGGCTCAGAATGATGGGTTCTTTCGCTCCCCCAAACCCCCTCCCCCTCATATCAGAAAAGAAATAAAATGCACAATGAGGCTTTATTTCGGAGGAGAAGACTTCAAAATACGTGCCAGTAATGGACAATTTGAGCTTTTCACTGGAGATACTCACACCGCAAGCTGGAAAGGGATTAAAAAGCCCCACGTGGTTGATCTGGGTTTAGACTTGCAACCTCTAGTTCCCCATGTATGTTCTTTTGCAAAGACTGGCCTCTAGATGGATGCGTGTGAGGGACTCTCTGGGGCCAAGGCTCGGCGCCTCGGGCAGGGCTGATGGTGGGAGCGCTATGAGCGGCCGGGCAGGGTCCTCGCTGGGGGCTTCCTCCGCCGGCCCGGGCGGCCGGGTGCCTCCGGGACGCGAGCGCGCACGCCTCAGTCCGGCCGCCGCGCTCCTCGCACCGCCTTCTCCGCAGGTCTTTATTCATCTCATCTGCCTCTTCCCCTTCTCCTCCTCCTCTGCCTCCTTCTCCTCCTCTTCCTCCTCCTCCTCCACCACCTCCTCCTCCGCCGCCGCCACCGCCTCCTCTTACATCTCACTGGCCTGGCTCTGTGTTGCTCGGAGTGACAAAGACAATGTCCCAGCCTTAACTTTGCAACCACCTTGCCTCCTTCTGGGGTTCGGCGAGGGGGAGGGGGGACAGCAGTCGCAGCCTCAGCATCTCCTCCACCTTCTGCTCTTCTCCAGCTCTTGGATAATTCTTCCCGGTCTCCCCCACCTCCAGCCCTTTCCTCATTTTCTTTCTTTTTTTTTTCCTTCTCCTCTCCCGCACGTTGTTGTTGTTATTAGAAAGGCTTCGCGCACCCCCTGGTGCTCCGGCGTTTTGTGTGGCAGAAGATTGTCTGCCTTCTCTCTTTCTGTCTTGCTTTCTCTCTCCCTCTGGTTGCTCATTATTCAGAGAGAGACACAGAGGGAGGGAGGGAGAGAGAGAGCGCGCGAGGGAAAGGGAGAGGAGAGAGAAGAGGAGAGAGAGAGAGGGAGAGAGTGAGAGGGAGAGGGAGGGAGGGAGAGAGAGGGAGAGAGAGAGACGGATATCTCAGGTCATCTGCAGCTGCAGCGAGTCTGAGGAGCCGAGGAAGGCAGGGAAGATGGCGATCCTCCATTGCTGAGACCCGGCAGAAGCACATGAGACTCCCGAACAACTTCCACAACAATAACCCGAGCAGGAAGAGGAGAAAGAGAAAGAGGATAAGGAGGCGGTGGGGCTGGAGAACCCGAAACACCTCCCGGCGCCGGGACGCTTCTTCTGTAAGTTACTGCAATTAACCAGCACCTCGGGGTGGTCCGAGTGCCGCGGGGAGGAGAGCGCGGGGTGGTGGAGGCACAAACGCGCTCATTCATTCGGCCGAGGAGGGTTGGTGGAGCCGGGAGGAGAGGAAGTCCCCTGCATGGACTGGCTGTTGGAAGAGGAGAAGAAGCGAGAGGCGGGGGGGGGAGGAGGAGGGAGAGCGAGCTGGAGGGGGAGGAGGAAGAGGAGGAGAGGAGAAGCGAGGGAGGAAGAGGAGGAGAAGGTGGTGGAGGCGGCTGTGCTTTTCCTGCTGGCTGCTCCTTCAGCTGGGGGGCGGGGGGAGCGGAGCGCTGTGGCTTAATTAATTTCGTGTAGTTCTAGGGAGAGAAGAGAAAATGAAAGATGAGTGAGAAGAGAGCCGGAGGCTTAGGACGGATGCTCCGGGTGTGGGGACAGGAGTAGGGACAGAGAGGGGGGCGGAGGGCGGGAGTCGAGGAGACCTGAGCCGAGAGAGAGCCGGAGGGAGCAAGCGAGGGGCAGAGGAGGGAGCGCTCCCGGCCGCCCCGACCTGAGCGGGTTGACCTCTTTCTTTCTGTCCCTCTCCTTCTTTCCCCCTCTCTGTCTGCCTGTCCCCAGCCCGATGGCAAAGCCGTGCGGATTGGCACCCCCCCTCTTCCTCAGGTATTTGGCTCGCTCGCTCGCTCTCTCTCTCTCTCTCTCTCTCCCCGAAGTTGGGATGCGGGGTCGGGATGTGTCGGGGGGTGGCGGCGGCGGTGGTGAGCAGAGAGGCGGGGAGCGGGGGGCGCCGGCCGGGTGGCGGGGCGGTGGGAGTTGGCGGCGGGGGAGGGGGGGGCGCAGGTTCAGGAGCCGCTGAGGAGCTGTCTCCAGGCTGGGGGTTCAGAAGCGTCTGGTGGAGGAGACAACGGTTTCTGGAGAGGAGAAGCCATTACACACGCTTGGCTCTCCTCTGAGGAAGGGAGAAAGGACCCCCAGGCAGAGGCCCGGGGGTCGCCTGACTCCTGGTGCAGTTCCCAGGGGTCTGCCCTCCTTCCAGGCGCGAGGGGAAGCCGCAGCCGCCCCCCATTGGAGCAGCCCCTCTCTTTCCCTTTCTTTATCTCCCTGTCCTCCATTTGCAAGCTGTCTGCTTTGGTTCCAGTCCAGACTCCAAAACACAAAGCTTCTTCTCACGTTCATTCTCCAGGCTTTTCACCATTCCTGGAGGAACCCTCATTTTCTTTTCATTGTAGCTTCTAACCTACAGAGAGGGAGGGAGGCTGCCTGGAGTTCCTTTTATATTCCTCCCCTACTTTAAAAAAAAAAAAAGTTTCATTTTTAAGCACGCGTCTGGGATGGGAAAAGACCAACCAGTTGGGGCTTTCTCCCAGGGCTCCCGGGGGCTGTTGTCTGAGTCTCTGTGTTGGCTGTTTGGTTTGCTTTGGTTTTGTTTCTGGAGGTGGCTGGCAGGATTTTTGAGGAAGTAACTAGTTTGGTTGAGAGCTGGGAACTGAGTCAGGTAAGCCCATGTCATGTTGTAACTCCACCAGAAAATGGAGGAGAGCGGGTTTCCAGGAGACAAAGCTGAGAAGTGTTTATAAAATTATGGATGTCTCCATTTTGAAGCTCTGTTGGTGATGGCTGGAAGAGGAGGCTTGCCTGCCTTCTCCTTCTCCCTTTCTAGGGGGCGAATCTTGTGGTGGTTCCTCACTATCTGTTCATTATGCAAAGAAATGAGGGGCTTGGAAGGGCTTCTCAGATATTTCTCCCACCCAAGGAGTACTTTCACAAGTTATGGAGGCTTTTGTTTCCATTTTAAAGTAAACTTTTGGAATTTTTCTCTCTCCTTTTGAGTGGACCTGTAGGGTTTTGACCTCCTTTGGGAAAGGCAAGGCAAAACCTTAAACAGTTTTCCACTGAGGTCCTTCACAGAACTTTTAAGCTGCTCCAGGTCTCCTGCAAGTCACCAGGAAATGTGATTTCCTCATTGTGAAGATGGTGATGGCCCTGAGCTGAGATTTTTGGAGTTCTGGGGCTTGATTATCATCATGTTTTGATGCACTGCAAGACTTTATTGTCTGGTTGGGGTTGATTTCTGCAAAACAACAGCAGCAGCAGCAAATCTGGCAAGATCTCAGAGGAACTCTTTAAGACTGGCTGACACCAGTTTCTGGAAGGTCTACATTTCTTTTCAGGATGCTTCATTTGTGTATCAGGCCTTCTTTTAGTTCCTTTGTTTTCCCTTTTCCCTTCCATTCTGCTGTGTTTTTTTTTTTTTTTCCCTTTTCTGTGTTCTCAAGTACTGTAAGTCTTCAGGAATATCAGATGTCTTCTTAACAATGTCACTATGGAAACAAAATTTTAAAATATTATGTCAGTTGAGAAAACCTTCTGTCCAGGTAGCTTCACCTTTCTAATTGGGAGGAATTTATTAGTCTTAGAGGAAGACATTTTGTGAGGATGATTTGAAGAAAGGACCCAAATCTACCCAGTCCACACACACTGATTGGAGTTCTTCACAGATTAGTTCTAGAGAATGTAATCAATCCCAGTAAAGAACTAAAGCCTGAAATGCTTGAGGAATTTATAAAAGCCAACCATGAAGATGTTCCTTTTCCATTAGATAAGGTAGCCATCTTGAGGATGAGGGAAGATGTTGGAAGAATATTAGATGGACTCTTGAAGATAGGTGAGGAATGCTCCACAGTGGAATGGAGGAGATTCAGAACCAGTTAATTTATTGTAAGGAGGCTGATTGGACCTTGTTTTCAACTAAGGAGGAATATAGAAAGGTACCAGCTTCAACAGAAATAAGGAACATATTGGTGAGCGACTTATACCAGCTTTTTTCTGGCTTTGCTTTCTCATTATATGTCAGATTTGTGTGTGTATAAAGTTCTTTATGCCTACAGTATTTTCGTACAGATTGAGGTGGTTTTAGATTCCAGATGTAATTATATTCTGTTGAGTAACAGGGAGCAGTGTCATTCAGTAAATGCACCGTGCTGTGTATGACAACATCACATTTTTCGAACCAAACTGTTGTGTCATTAATTGAGGGTTATTGTTCTTCTGAGAGGTGTGAAAGGAGAGGAGAAATACATGGTTTTTTAGGTGATAATTGTCCATGGTCAATGAAGTAAAACCCTGCTTTTGTTGATGTGTATACTCATTTAAAAATACTTCTCTTCAGAGCTCTGCTTCTTTATTAATAACCTAGGGCTCTCCAAGAGCACTTAAAAAAAATCTTACTTGCAATCATACCTTTAATTACTCATTTTTAAATGTTATTTTTGATATCATAACTTTTGCTCTTAAGTAGAATGTCATCAATGTTATATTTAAATTTGCCAAAGTATATATGTATATATATGCATGCTACATGTTCAAACTCAGAAGTTCAAATGCGATGGGATAAAAAGAGTTATTTGGGGAAGTAATTACCAGATAATTTTGCACCTAATTAACCATATATGTTTATGTAAACATAAATAAATTATTTGTTGATCTTAAAGCAAACTTCTATGATATCTTTGTTGTTCTTGTTGATACCAGGACAACTGGTTAATTACTTCTCTCAGTGGGGGGAAGAATCTGACAGACTAGTTGCCAGTCTAGCAGTTTGACTCTTATTTTTTACTTTTGGTGTTTTTGTATGTAGACAGCCTCAGAGCTGAGATTTTCGGGAGGGAAAAAAATTAGGTATCTAACAGGCATTTTGGAGTTTGCGAATGTGTTCCAACCTGAGACTCATCCATCTCGGGTGTTCATCACCAAGAGAAGCACCATTATATTTAAGACATGGTTTCTTGCTTTTTTCTAGATATGTGCATTTGAAATGGGACAGTTACTTTGGATAAACCACCGTGAGAGAAATAAAAAAAGTATCCAATGGAACCTTCTCATTTGATGTCAAAACTCAGAGATCCTTTTTGTTTTTGAGACACCAAGTTGATGAGGCTTGGTAGGCAAGCTTTTACCTAATTTGCTCTGATATAATCACAGAGAGAAATCATTCTGGAGACTATGTGAAATGTGATGTACCCTGCCATAAAAAATATTCTTGCTGGGTCTTCAGTTTCCATAATCTTTCTCATATTCAATTTATGTCCACCTAATTCATTGATTACATTCTCCCAGGACTTGGTTTATAACTTTTAGATGAAAACATTATATACATATATATGTGTATATATATTCTTTTTTTCTAGTGAGTCTTCTGTAAGACAATAGGGGAAAAAGAAATCCAACTCTACTAGTGGACTTTAAAGTACTTGTGGTAGTTTTCCTGAAAGGAAAGAATGGTAAAGTTGCCTTGGGAAAGAGTCCCCTTTTCTGTGTGATGGAGTTTAATAAGGTCTGGTCTGTCTTGGATTCCTTCCTAGTGTTGAGATTTCTTGGTTAAGGTAACCTTACTTATCTTCTTTGGTATGTTCCTTCATCAGTCTTATAGTTCACTGCCTCTTGGGACAGAACATTGACAAAGCTGCATTGAGTGTTTCGAGTTGATGGCTAGGAAACAAGCTATTTCTCAATGCCATACTCATAAGGTAGGAAATAATAATGAATTCAGATTGCAAAGGATCTGACATGGGTGGATGATTGGATGGTTGGTATATGGAAACTAAGGAAATTCAGAGGAAATGGGGGGAAATATTTCCAGTGTCTATTACTAAAATCTAGTCAACTGAAAAAAAAAGTCATAATCCATGTGTGTGTGTGAGTGTGAAAGCAAGTATCTTGTGAAGGTCACATACTTAGGAAGT